GTCGCAGCCTCATGCAATTCCCCGCGCTATCCTGCGCGCTCCCAGTCCCCTGACCTGCGAACTCGGGGCTCACTCCCTGGGTGGTTCCGGCCCCGCAGGCCAGCAGGCCGGTGCCCGCTCCAGCCTGCCTGCCGCGTACAACGAAAAGGCGTTTTTCCTCCTTCTTGGTACGCTTCTAACATCAGAAACTCGTTCCCTCTGATTCTGATGCGCGCTCCGGTCCTTTAGGCGAAGGCTGAGTGTCCGGGTCTGGGGACGAGCAGAGCCGGGGCGCGGTCCGGGCAGGGAGCTCTCCCAGGGCCACCAGAATTACTCGGGTGACCGAGAGCCGGGTCTCCGAGGCCCGAGCGTGCCCTTCGCTCCAAGGCTGGGGCAACAATGGGGAGTTGCGCCCGATCCCGAGCAGAGGACCTCTCCGCTTGGGATCCTGGGAGCTGCTTATTCTAAGTCGGGGAAGAGGCACCGCTCTTGCTTCTCAGGAGAAGGGAAACAGACCAGGGCAGCGCTGAGCTCGGGTCTTTCTGAGACACTAGTTAGTGGCTTTGTGATAATGGAAGGAGCCCAGCAGGTAGTGCCACAGTTGACTCCTCCAAGAACTCGCTGTCCTGAAAATCCATCCGATGAGATTCTTAAAGGCAACATGCGGTGGATGAGGGTCTTCCTCGACCTTGTTCTTCACTTTCTCCATGTCATTATGGGGTCACCACTGTTGCAAATGAGTTCTCCTGATCAAAAGTATCCCCACAACCTTGAGCTTTTTGGTACTTCTTGATGGCTCCAAATGCACAACAGTTTAAGAGCAAAGCTTGAGATAAGACTCTCAGGGTGTGCCATTTTCCTGCCCACCAGCCGCTTCAGCCCAAATGTCAAGACCCACCCTTTGCTGCGTAAGAAAGTACAGCTCCCACCCTAATGGGGATGAGGTGGGGACACCCCAAAGCCCCACTATGAACACTGCACCCCCCTTTCCCGATGGTCTGTTCCAGGGTAGATACAGAGGCAGAGGCACTCCCCTGTTGGAGTATTTTCCTCTTCTCTTTTTCTCTCCTCTTCCTGGCCACCCTCAGCCCCTCAGTTGTGTGTGTGTGTGTGTGTGTGTGTGTGTGTTTTTCTGGATCTTTCTTCCTTTGCCATTATCTCTGGGCCCCCAGCCCTCCTGGCATGGGAGGGAGAGGGTTAAGATGTTCTGCAAACGCTGCTCCTAAAGCTGCCTGGATACATTAGAAACACATGAAGATCCTGAAATACAAAGTGTCTTTAAAACCAGCCCTGGGCGGTAGATCCTAATGCTGGATGGATGCAGAGAAATAGTGCCAGCAACCAGTGCTGACAACTTCCTCCTCGCTCAAGTGTGAACAGGTAAATTTCATTTGCTAATGAAAATCAAACTCAATTAAAACTCGGCTTCCCTTTGTCCCTTTCTCTTTCTCCACGCCCCAGACGAGTATCAAGTTCCCCCATCCAGAAAAACCCAACTGAGGGCTCTTTTTTGGTGGGAGGCTTTCATGGCAGCCAAGAGCTCTCAGGGCGTCCTGGTGCGCTCCACCAAGTAAGAAGCCTCGCCTGCCAAGGCATCTCGGAGCAAAAACCAGGCTCGGGCAATTCCTTTAACAAAGGCCGTCTGCAGCCACCGTCCTCCAGTCCTGCCTGAGCTGACCTCTCTGGGCTCCTCCAGGGAAACCTGGGTGCCCCAGACAGAGCCTCTCCCACCTCCACCCCTGCAGTGCTCAGCTTGGCTCTTTTGCTCCAGGGGCCACTGCTGCCTGTGAAAGCAGTGGATGCTCTACCTTCCTCAGCCTAACCCACAAGGAGTCTGAGGGCAGAATTGTCGAGGCGATGGTGCCTCTCTACCGTCCTATAGGAATTCCTGATATTGAAGGACGCGCGTGTACACACACACACATACACACACACACACAGGAGCACTCAGGAGGTCAGTCCCCTCTAGCTGGGCAGACAAGCGAATCTTGAACTTGCCGTTGGGAGAAAGAGGTACCCTGGGAATGTCTGTTGCGTGCTTGCAACAGCACACTGCAGTCTGCATTGCCTTCTGACCTTTTTAAATTATTATTATTATTACAGCAAGCCAGGTTTTTTTTTGGGGGGGGGCATTAAACACTCAACTGGAATCACAAATGAATCTCCCTCAGCACAAAGGTGAGGAGGGAGTATTATTCTTACTCCGGAGTGAGTAAAAATTCTAACAACCCAGACCTTTACTTACTCACAGAGCTCAGTCTCCTTCTAGAAGCCACCCCCCACTGATATCTAACCAGAACATAGACACTTAAAAGCCCTGAAATCCAAAACAATGAGGGAGCCGCCAGGCTGCTTCCCTCTGAGTAATCACATCTTGAGCGTTTTAAAAATGAACAGGGAGATGAGGGGAACTAAGAAAAATCTCTGGACAATACGATCGCTGAAGGTTCAGCCTAAATCTCAGTCCAGCATTTCCTTGATGGGGGTGCCACTTGTGAGGAGCAGAGCCTGATTTGCAATGCATCCCCAAACCTGCCGCCAGCGCCTTCCAACCCAGACAAACCTGCTAGTGGCTCCTCGGGGGGACAAGACGAAATTTCCTCTCCCCCTTTTTGGTGAGGAAGGACCCAGTCGACTCTGGCAGTCCGCGTAGCTGAGGCCCTTCCTCTGCGCACGGGGCTCCGGGCTCCGGTAAAATGGGAGGGGAGGGAAGAATGTGGAGCTGGCCTTGGCCGCTGTGTGCACCAGCAGCCGCGCCATGGCCAGAGGTGAGCTGGCACAGGCGCTGGATGGTGGGGGCTCCCCACACTGTATTTTCGTTTTTCCGGGTCTGGCTGGAAAACAGAAGAAGCTCAAAGCTCCGGCCAAGAGCAGGGCGGAGGCAGGGAAGAAGAGTCGGTAAACACCGCCCCAAAAACTCCACGGAGGCAGCAAAAAATGCCGGGTAGCCAGAGCCAGAAACAAGAATTCCAAAGGAAAAAGGGAATTGAGAGTGAGGGGAGGTGGGCGATTGGGCCTTTTGCGGCCACCAGGGTCTCCGGGCTTGCATGGAAGTTCTCACGCTGGCTAGACTGCAACTTTCAACTTGACCTTGGCCTCCAGCCGTGTCTGACCGTATGTGAAACCGCCCTGCAGTCCCCAGGAACTGGGGCCTCAAGCCCTACTCTGTCTCTTTGTCACTGTGTTTTACAATGCCACTCAGAGGGAAGGTTTAGGGAGAGCTGAAAGGGCCTGAAAGTCATACAAAATTCAAGTTCCTTCCCGAAGCCGGTCCCCGAGTCTGCCAGTGGCCAGCCAGGCAGCAGGTAAACTGGGGGCAAATCAATATTTACTGACAGCTGCTAAAATGTCAAGAGAGAAAGGGCACATTGGGTGTGTAGGGGACATGGGGGGGTCATAGACGGTTTTATTGGGCGACACTTACATTGGTCAGGGCAAACCCAGGATCTGGGCAGATAAAAGCCTGAGCCCAGCCACAATGGCCTGCCCGGAGCTTGCCGGAAGCCCAGGTGCCTAAGAGAACAGAGCAAGGGCGTGGTAGGTGCTGGTAAGCACAGTGTCCTGAGCTCAGGGCTGAGTCCACGGGCTGGGACCAGAGGGCAGGTCTCAGCCCTGCTGCTTACCAGTGCGCCCAGGGTGGGATGGAGCCCAGCGGCCCCTCCCAGCTCTGGTGTCCTCCTCAATGCACCCACTTTCACTTTGAGCGCTGGTTCTCCTTCTGGGCATCGGACCAGTTCAAGGCGCACAATCAGAAGTGGATGCGTTCCCAAAGCGGCAGCGGCAGCACCCCTGGAGTCCTTCACCAAAACATGGCGGCTAGGAGAGGGGTCCGGACGTGGCTCCTCCGGTAGCAACATCTCACCGCCTCCCGGGGAAGGGTCTCATTTCCCAAGCACAGAGCAAAGGCTTCTCGGATGGAATCCTCGGGCAGAGGAGTACTGGGCAAACACGGTGGGCTGGGGGATCTCGCTCTCTCCTTTCCCAACACGGAGAGAAGCAGTGGGTTTCCAAGCTCCTGGAGAGTCAACGTTCAACCCAGGAGCTGCTCCCCTTCGCCAAAAGGGGCTGAGGCCCCGGCCCCGCTGGAAGGTCTCCTCTTAAACCCTGTCCAGGACAAGCCCGCTGGACTGGCGATGTGGGAGCCTGGGTGAACCGAAGGGTACGCACTCCAGTCTCTGCGGGCGGAGGAAGATTTGTTACTGCGCCAGAGCGAGGAACCCGCTGTACACTTGGGTGTGTGCATGTGAGTGTGCACATCCGTGTGCACTCGAGTGTGTGCGTGTGCGTGCGGGTCACTGGGGTGGGGGGTCATGATGAGTGCAGTTCTCTGGGCCTAAACGCAAAGCTATGACACTACGCGTCCTCCTCAACGCCGCACACAGCGAAGGAAGGGGGCTCCGAGACTCAGCCCAAGCCTTCCGGCGGCACGTCCGGGGGGTCCCTCGGAGCCAGGCACGTCCGCAGGAACCGACCAGCAGCAAACGCCCCGGCCCCGTGGCCCTGAAGAGTAAAATCGCGACGCTGTGGATGCTGAAAGCACTGATAACCCCCAACACACACCCCCGACTAAGGTCTCGCTGCCTAAAGACGCGCGGATATCCGGAAAGCAAGCATCCCCGGAGGTCCCCCAGGAAACGCCCGGGCCCGGCCACCGGCAGGTTTACCTGACCTGTCCCCCAACGCCTCAGGTCGCAACCCAGAGGTCCCGGCCCCGCCTGCCTGCGCCGCCCCGGTCCCCACGGGAACAGAGGTAGGGCAGGGGGGCGGCGAGGGGGCCGCCCTTCCCTCCCGGCCCCGCCCGCCCGCCCGCGGCCCCCGCCTCTCCCCGGGGTAAATGGTGTGCGGCCGCGCGGCCGGCGCTGGCGCGGGCGCAGGGAACTGCGCGGGCAGCGGCGGGGACCGCGGGCGCACGGCGCGGAGCCGGCTTGGAGCCGCCCGCTTTGCATACGCCGTGGGCGGAGCAGGGGGGCCGGGCCAATGGGCGGCCGCCTGGCGCGACCCCGCGGGGCGCGATCCGCCCCCCTCGCTCGGGCCCCGGCCCCGCGCCGCGCGCTCTTCACTTCTTGGGGGCTTTTTAAAACAGCGCCACTGGGGTCTTCTCCATGCGGCTCGGGCTATGACAGCCTCCGTGCTCCTCCACCCCCGCTGGATCGAGCCCACCGTCATGTTTCTCTACGACAACGGCGGCGGCCTGGTGGCCGACGACCTCAACAAGAACATGGAAGGGGCGGCGGCGGCGGCGGCGGCAGCGGCGGCGGCGGCGGCGGCCGGGGCCGGGGGCGGGGGCTTCCCCCACCCGGCGGCGGCGGCGGCGGCGGCCGCGGGGGGCAACTTCTCGGTGGCGGCGGCGGCCGCGGCGGCGGCGGCGGCCGCGGCCAACCAGTGCCGCAACCTGATGGCGCACCCCGCACCCCTGGCGCCGGGCGCCGCGGCCGCCTACAGCAGCGCGCCCGGGGAGGCGCCCCCGTCGGCCGCCGCCGCCGCCGCCGCTGCCGCTGCCGCCGCGGCCGCCGCGGCCGCCGCGTCGTCCTCGGGAGGGCCCGGCTCGGCGGGCCCGGCGGGCGCCGAGGCCGCCAAGCAGTGCAGCCCCTGCTCCGCGGCGGCGCAGAGCTCGTCGGGGCCCGCGGCGCTGCCCTACGGCTATTTCGGCAGCGGCTACTACCCCTGCGCCCGCATGGGCCCGCACCCCAACGCCATCAAGTCGTGCGCGCAGCCCGCCTCGGCCGCCGCCGCCGCCGCCTTCGCCGACAAGTACATGGACACCGCTGGCCCTGCAGCCGAGGAGTTCAGCTCCCGCGCTAAGGAGTTCGCCTTCTACCACCAGGGCTACGCAACCGGGCCTTACCACCACCACCAGCCGGTGCCTGGCTACCTGGATATGCCGGTGGTGCCGGGCCTCGGCGGCCCTGGGGAGTCGCGCCACGAGCCCCTGGGTCTTCCCATGGAAAGCTACCAGCCCTGGGCGCTGCCCAACAGCTGGAACGGCCAAATGTACTGCCCCAAAGAGCAGGCGCAGCCTCCCCACCTCTGGAAGTCCACTCTGCCCGGTAAATGGCGCCCCCTTCCCAGCCCGGGTCTTCCGGCTCCGCTCCAGCTTCTCCGCTCGCGCCCGGGGTCACCCGGGTGCCCCTCTGCACTCTCCCTGGCCGGCCCTAGCATCTCTGCGCCCCTGGGAGCCTGACATCCCCCTTTCCCCTCCCCGGCTGGCTGGCGCTGACCACACTGCCCTCGGCGAAGCTGGCGCCCGGCCCTCCCTGGGTGAGGGGTGGCTGGGTGGGAGTTTGCGGGGACCCCGGTAGCTGCCTTCTCCCCGCTGCCCCCTTCTTTCCCAGCGCTTGACACCGACTTAAGAATGAGAGATGGACCTGAAAATGGTTCGCCAAACTCTCCCATTCCTTCTTTCAAAAAAACCCCACAAAACCAACGGGTTCCACTGCAGAGCCATCAAGTGTTGGGGCTTGGGGCGTCCAGGGCAGCCTGGCGCTAAGCTGTGGGCCGCTGGACCAGGCCACGGAGGGCAACGGGCACGCAAGTGTATGCAGGATGAGCCAGTCGTGGTGGTCGCTGGAGCCCGGGGCGACTTGCAGCGCAGACCTGAGCACCCCTCCTCACTGACTCTCCAGGCTCTGGCAGGAGGCCGGATTGTACTGCGCGTGGCAAAGAGCAGCCGGGCACCGCCACGCGGGTGGCTCGGTCGGCGCGGTGCGGGCGGAGCCCTGTGTAACTTGCCTTCTCCCCCTGTCTTCCAGACGTGGTCTCCCATCCCTCGGATGCCAGCTCCTACAGGAGGGGCAGAAAGAAGCGAGTGCCTTACACGAAGGTGCAGTTGAAAGAACTGGAGCGGGAATATGCCACGAACAAGTTCATTACCAAGGACAAACGGAGGCGGATATCAGCCACGACGAACCTCTCGGAGAGGCAGGTCACTATCTGGTTCCAGAACAGGAGGGTCAAAGAGAAAAAAGTCATCAACAAACTGAAGACCACTAGTTAATGGATTAAAAATGAAGGGACGGGGCAAGCTGGAGAAATGCCTCAGGACTCGAGGCTTGGCCCACTTGACGGTAGTGAGAAGAACTGAGAACGGGAACGAGAGACACGGGCGATGTGCTCTCTTGAGGGCGACCTCTTTCTCTCTAGCGGAACCTACAACTACTTTTACTACAGCTACTACTACTTTTTTGGAATTTTGCGAAACGGTGCATCTGCCAGTTCTCCCACCAACCCCACAGGACGGTTAAATGACAAACTCTAGGGGTCAAACGCCAACCCCCAAATATGCAATGGCAGACAAGTTATGCATTTACTGAGATCTTGTAAGTATTTATGTGACCGTTATATTTTAGGACACTATGTTAGACGGTAATAATCTGAACGCTGGTTACAAAAGCAAGCGAGAAGCTCTAGCAGACGTCTGATTGTCTTTCTTAAGTCGTCATCCCTTCTGCATGTTAAGTGCCTGCTCAGGTGAACCTTAGTGAAATTCGTATCATTGTATATTCTGCAAAAAAAAAAAAAATCCATGTATAGATTTAGAGGAGAGAAGAGAAGGTACTGAAAGAATGATCTTGGATTGTTTCTCACGAAGGGAGAGAGGAGAGAGAGAGAGAAGAGAGAGTGAGAGGATCGTTGGTCTTGGTAGCAGACACAACCAGCTGAACCTCTGAGGCTACAAGAGTTGGGAGTATCCTTTTGAGAATAATTTTTCCTTGCTTATCACAAGCATTTTTTGGTGGCACTTAGGCTCTATTTACTGTACCATTAGCAGTTTATTTCCTCAAGGATTTGGGATCTTAAAATGTAAATTTTCAGGGGCTCCATAGGATTCACTTAATGTCAGAACTCATGGAAGTTCTCACCCCAACATGATGGACACAATTCATATTTTTTTCACTTAAATTGACATTTTCCAATATTTGCTAAAACTTTGCTGGAGAAATATGCTTTTCTCTTTTCAAAAACTCAGCATGAAAACCATTACCCTGAAATATTTAGGTGTCTAAATTCTCCGTTTTAATCCATGAAGGGATTTGTGATTTTTCTTCGTTAACTGTGTCATGAAACCATATTAGAAAGTGTAGGGATTAATCTTCACAGCACACTTTTAATCAGTTATTTCAACCAGCACATTGGTTTTGTTCAATATTCACTATAAATGCTATCTTGTAAATAAAGACATTCAGCACACTGTGAAAATGTATTTGTGCACCTGCTTTTGAAATACTTCTGGTAAAAATGAAAAAAAAACTAACATCTATAGATACTGCTACAGTGGTATTAATTCTGGTAACAATATAGTCACTGCCATGAACATCTGAAGAAACACTCATTAGTCTCCTACGCTGAATGTGCACCACACAGAAAGAAAAGGAGCAGGTTTGTCTTAAACAAGCCAAGGACCATTCTTTTCTACTATTATTTAGCTTTTTTTAATGCTACAAATTATTTTAAGAAAAGGGAGAAATCCCTCATAATTAAGATCCTAAAAATTATAAGCGCTTTAAGGAGACTGAAGTGTCAGGTATCTTTAAAGGAGAGGGAGAGAAAGGAGGAAGAGATAGTATCAGTTCCCAGGCTCCCTTTGGAAAATGAAAACCAGTCGTGTAGCATCAGCAATGCCTAGGCTGCCGTATTTTAAAATCTGCTGTTGGGCCTGCATATGTCTTAGAGGGCAGGTTGTGATATTTGTTGAAATGACAGGACTAGGAAAGGCCTTAAACCTTGACCTTGAGGAAAAAAAGACAATTTGTGACCTTGACTTTTGACAGCTCATGAATTGGCCTCTGCTGGATTAGTAGATCAAGGGCGCCACCTGGTGTTGACAAACCTCCTTGTAATTCTTCAGCTACAAGGGAATCAAGAGCCCGAGCTCTTACCTCCTTGACTTGGTTTAGAGATTCAGTACTCATTTCTTTGGCTTCAGATGAAGCACATTTGAATATATGTAAATTATACATGTGCCTGTATATATGTGAATATATATCATATATGTGTATACATGTATACATTTGCATATTAGTGCTTGTGTGTGCTTGTATATATATTTGTAGAATCTGTACAGATATAGTATCATTAATTGCTGATGACCCAAGATATTGTAATTTAAAGTGATTTTCAGAGTGGAGGGACAACTTGTACTTTACTTGGTGAAACCTTGCCACTTTGCTTGGATGGCCAAGTTTAACTTCTCTCCCCAGTGGCTTGCCTGGTGTTCAATTTCCACAAGTCTGCTTTGAAAGCTGTACATTTCTGCCACAGTCTAAGAGGTGTTCTTAAGTATCCATTCTTTCTTGGCCCTCACCCTCCAAGGTGGCCCTGCCACCCTAATTGGAGCAACTGGGGTACCTTGCTGCCTCTAGGGTTCTAGAGTTACATTTCAGAAATTCAAAGAGATCTACTCCTTGAGAGGTCAATAAGGAGAACTTAAATCCCTCCTGTCTACCAAATGACCATCATATGGATGTGCAAGGAGAGTGATCCTGAAGGTGGGTGTTGCTCCAGGCTGTACAATCTTCTAGTGCCATGTGATTTGTAGGAGAAATAAATGTTTAATATTAACAACCTCCATCCAAACAATAATACTAAGTATTATATCTACTGTTTATTGACCCCTAACAACATGCTGGGTGCCATGTTCAGAGCCATAAATATCACCTATGTATGTTTTTATACTTAATACACCAGAAGGTAATGTGCTTTTGTCCGATCCATGCTACACCCGTATGTATTAAAATGCTGGTGGAGCCTGTGGCCTTGGGACACAGAATTTTGAGCTGCATATTAATTATGCTCTCTCCGTGAGATGAACACAATAGTGCATGGAAGAACAGGAGTTGGCATTTTATGGAAATAATATTGGTTGATTACAAATCTGGCGGAAGACTTGGAGCCACTTCCTGGAGGGAGAATTTGGGAAAAACCTCTCTAAAGCTGTCTCCAAAAAGGATGGTCTCACACACATGGATCGACTGGGCTTGGGAAACGCAGCCTTCCTTTGCCGTCCTGAGGATTTGCACCCCGAGATGGAAACCTCGCTTCAGAGCCACCTCCCCTCGCCTGGCCGCGGGGCGCTCTGGGGCTCAGCGAGCTGGAGCCGCTGCAACCACTTTCTCCCAAGATGTTTAAAGCCGTGGAAATCCCCTCCGCGCTGGATCAAGCTGTGTGCTGGGGAACAGCTCCGAAAGAGACTCTTCTGCTGCAGGGGGAGATTTCTCTCTCGATGTGAGAACTATTCTGAGCCTCAGGCCTAGGATGGAGGCCAACAGCAGCTCGGCCGGCCCGGCGCCTGGGGCACTGCCTTTTCCCAGTGATCACCCTGCAGGAACCCTGGGTAAAGTAGCAGGCCTCTCTCTCTCCCTCTCTCTCTTCCTCCCCTCCCCCCCATTTTTGAAACTGTAATAATGGAAGCAATCTCACATTCTCCCCACACACACCCCTGCAGTTCTACAGTGACTGCTGATAGTGTCAATCTCAGCGAACTCCCTTCTTATTTAAAATTTTTCATCCATCTACTGGAGATAGATCCAGATCTATTAGGGCGTGGATTATGATTCCCCAGTGCCCTAATACCAGTCTAAAATCTTCACACACACACACACACACACACACGCTATCCAAGAGGACGCGGCCCTCTTCTTCGAAAAATAGGAAAATTCATGCCCGACAGACCCGTGGATAGTGATTGGAAACCTGCTTCCAGTATCTTTTTTCTAAAAAGGAAACTCCACTTGAATTTTTAAAAATTATAAATATGGGACCTTTAAAAAAAAAACCTTACCTTTTCCATCTGCTCTTAATACTGTCAAATTTATTACGTGATTTTAAGTGGATGATTGTAAAATGTCATTGTGCATTTCACTACTATTTATACCTGATCCAGACCTGAAGTCATCCGTTTAATTTGTAATTTTTTTAATAGAAAGGGAAAGGGAAAAATATTAAAGGGGAAGGAAGAAAACAATTTTTAACGCAACTTTAATGAAATGATGTTTTAAAAATTCAGCACATGATAGCAAAATTCAGCTGGGGGTGATACATTCGGTTGACGGTCCTTAACGACACGAACTGCACTGTCCCATAATGTGTGCAGAACGCGCTGCTGCTCGCGTTCAAGGGTTTGGTGAAGATGCTGCCTCTCTGTGAATTCCCGGGTTAGGAGCCCAGCCTGGGGTTGCCCGGCTGCTAATTCCCAGAGCCACTGGGTTAGGAGGCGCCCTGCTGAATTTGGCGGACCTCTCCCGTGGAGACGCTGGGGGCTTGCTGATTTATGTGAATTCCTTTAAACGTGATCGAATGCGTGTCCGCAGCCCCAGACCTGGGGAATTCAGAGAAACGCGCGGCGAGTTGCCCATGTCCCATTTTTCATAAGCAAAGATGGAGCGTCAGCCGAAGGGCCTGGGGAGATTTATGCGCGAGTTTTAAGACAGGCACGCTAATTAAGTTTTCGTCGCTCGGCTCCCGGGTCAATAACAGGCAGCTTCGTTCTTCACAAAAATCCCCGCTCGGTGCTCGCGCGTCCACCCAGCGCCCACCCACGCCCGAGAGGTGCCTCCTGCTGCTGCTGCTTTTTAATTTTATTTTCAAGGAAAGGAAAAAAAGGACGCTGCGCGCCGAAAAATCCTTCCGTGAAGGCTGCCCAGGCCTTGCCACAATGGATTTTATCTCTACCGGGCTCTGACGCGCGGCCCGCGAGCTGGATCTTCCGCGCAGAGACCGCGGCCGCGGCGTGGCGGAGATCGGCGAGCACCGGCCGCGCTCGCGTGCGCGGGGTGGATGCGTGGGAGAAGCACCGCTGCGGACTCGGACAGCCCCGAGGTCGTAGCGCAGGCGCGGCCCCACTCCTCCGCGCCTCTCGGCCTGGCTCGGATGGCTGGTGGGCAGGTCCGGGGCATGGGACGGGACCACGGCGGGCGCCGAGGCCCGGGAACCCGGAGACGCCCGCCCGCCCTGCGCACCCCAAAAGGCCGGGGCTGGGGCCGGTGCGGGTGGGTCTCCCGCAGTTTCAAGCTGACGTCACCGCAGGCCGCGAGGGCCTTCGCAGGGCTGTCGAGGCGTTGTTTGGTGAGCCCCAAGCGATTCAGAGGCAGGTTCTGTACGGGTGCCCCCTTCTCCGCCCCGCCCCGCCCTCCCCAGGAGAATAATCGGGTATTTAATCTCTCCCGGTCTTAATTCTTGGCAGCGTGGAAGGTGGTTTGCAACGGGAAATAAAACTTGACAGGAGCATTTTCTCTAAAAGGGGTTTTGAGACGGGCTGAAAAGAAACCGTGTTGTTCTCTCCCAAATACTTCCGCTTTCTGCGCCCGGAGTCGAGGGCGGGATGGGCTCCCGGAACGCCGAGAGCGAGCTGGGCACACAGGGCCACGTTGTGGATCTCGGCAGTCGAATCCGGACGCCGCGGGCAGCCGCCTTCTGCACCTGGGCCAGGGAGGCAGCCTCGGGCCTCGCTGCGCTCTGCGCCCCTGCGGCGCGGGGCTCGGCCTTAGGCCCCGGTGCGGGGGAACCTGGCACCGTTGGGCGCCGAGCTGGCACCCGGAGAAGTGCCCAGGCGCTGGCGGAGGTCACTGGGGGTCAGGCGAGAGAAAGAGGCTTTGGAGACGGCCTTACGCCGCTTGAGCCTTCTCGCTTGGGAATCGGGGACAGGAGCTCGCGAGGGAGGTGCTGGGAGCACAACTGGGGGTTTTGTTTGCCGGCCGCGGGCCTGCGGACCCTGCAGAAAACGTAGGGGGAATGGGGTGAGCCGCGCAGTATGCGTGGGTTGCCCGGGCTGCCTCTGGGTAGAAGAGGCTGAAGACAGCCGCGGCGCGCTCCCGGCGGCCCAGAGGGCGCTTTCCTCTTGGGCTGTAAAGGTCAAGTCCTCGGCGTCACCGCCGCCTCCATGGTCAGGGCCGGCCCCGCCAGCCGAAGGAAAGCAAAAACGTTCAACCGGCGAGGCGGTCACGCTGCCGCCAGCGCGTTCTGCTCGCCCAGGCCTCGCACACGGGGGAGGCAGGGCTCCCGACTCCCTTCGCTCCTAGCCCTGTCGGAATAGAGTGCCCGCAGCCAGCGATGGCCCAGGCCGTGTCCTTGTCCCGAAAGGGTGAGATGTGCCCCGGTCCAGGAGAACATGGAGCCTCCAGAGGCCTGGTCGGGACGAGAGGGCCCGCCAGCGAGTCCGGGGGTCTGGGTCCGGCAGGAACGAGGGGGGCCAGGCAGAGCCAGAGGGCGGGGAATAGTACAGGAGAGCAAAGCCCCTGCTGGGTAGTCGTGGAGCTCAGCCCTCTTTCGGGGCCCCTGTAGGCCTTGGATGAGACCATATTATCTCCAACCTATTTTGC